AAAGTCATTGAAATTTGTCAAAATAAACCAAGGGGGGCATTAAAATAGTAACTATATGGTAGTTCCAGGCCACAATTCACTGGACACCCTCTCAAGGCAAGAAATTCACACTAAAGTCCAAGAATCTCCAGTTCTATATCCTTGGGATTGCTGTCAACTGGTCTGAAATACTAGGGAGTTTCAACCATAAGATTAAGGGAAACAAGTGAGTTTGGGGTAAACCCCAGTTCTTTTAGTGGGGTTTCCACATCAAGTCCTTCTGGTATGTTCTATGGAGGAGGATGTTTGCTTCAAAAGAACAGAGTCTAAGGTCCCCTTTAGCACACAGCCTATATCATCCAGGGCTGGATAATAACTAGGTCAAAAGTGTCCAATTAGGAACACAGTACTGGGCATATTCTCTCCTTGAGTTCTATATAAATACTATTAAGCTTTTTTTTTGTTTGTTTGTTTCCCTATGGGAAATTTCTCCTTCTTGCTTACCCAGCAACAGAAATGTACTTGTCTTCTCTGAGAACTCCCCACCATCCTGACTTGAATTTCCATTAAGTTTCAATTATCATTCTGCTAGGAATGTCTGTTTATTTGGGTGACCTCAGCACACTGCTGTATGGCAGCAACTGAACAACCCTCTCCCTTCCCCAAATTCTGAAATTCAAACCCCAGCTTTGATGGAATCTATGGGAAACAGAAAGATTTCTCCCAAGTTATCTCCCCCAAATATGTTAGACTTAGGACACTGCTTGCAGCTAATAACTGTCAAGTTACTTCCCTAAAGGCAGTCAGCTGCCAGACTACTTAGTCCCACCATGAGTAGGCCTGCTCCCTGCTGCAAAGGACAATGGGCGACTTCTCCCTAAAGGATTGCAGTCATCCATTTGGTTCCTATAAGTACAGTCCCCACCCTACTGATAATGATTTCTAGAGTTGAGCCAGGGAACCAGTCAAACCGGCTCAGTGACCTCTAAAGTTAGGCTGACATCCTGAATCTAGGATCTGCCACATGTGTAGCCCAATCACTCCTCTTCCTTTTGGGTGTATATCCCTAAATCATCCCCCTCCCATTACTGTATTATACCCCTAGATCATCCCCCTCCCATTACTGTAGTATTACGATAACACAACTCTTCCTGTGATGTATTTCTTCACATGTAATTAGGGGACTTGCATGTCCCCAGAGAATATAAAAGCCTTGGTTAGCATTAAATACCTCTCTATCTCTCTCTACGTGGACCAGCAAGTGAGGCTGAGGTGAGCATTGCTACCATGAAATGTGTCTGACTCCATTATTTCTCTCTCACTTCTATCTCTCATGCTCTTTATGACTTTACTATAATCTTTACTTATTATCACTGTACAATTGTGCCTACCAGACCCGTGATGATGTGTTAGGGGCTGGAATACCCTGACAAGGATCTCCTCTATCTAAGTGGTTTTTAAGGTGGCATTTTCAGTGGCCTTTCCCCCACTGTATTTTTCCTATGTTTTTCAGTATGTGAAATCCAAGATGAAGGAAGATATAAAGACAGGGGCTGCAATGATGGTACCTTCGATGGTATGACAGGGGAGGTTGATGGGAAATGGGGAGCTGATAACAATAGATAAAAGAAGAAAATTGCTTTTCTAAAATGGATTGTGGAGATGGTTATCTCCACAACTCTTTTTAATATGATTGAAAGACTGAATTGTATGGTATATGAGTTATATGCCAATAAAACTGTTACAATGAATAGTATTTGTTTAAAAATCAAGGAGTGGAGGTGAGGTGAGTCCCTTCTTTGGATCTCTCAAGCTCTAGGATGGCAAAATCTTAGAAGGCTCCCAAGTAAAGCCTAGGGTCAGTGCTTGAAGACTCACGAGTGAAAGAAATCCCAATTGGAAGAAGAATCCCTGAAGTAGGACGCCAGCCTTAGATACTCCAAAGTTCCAAATATGAGATATGGATACAGACACAATATATGAGTAGGAGTCACGAGGTAGGGTAAATAAATGTCTGGTTACTAACCAAAAGGTGGGAGGATTGAATCTGCGAGGAAGTTTCTCAAGAGATAGATCTGGTGGTTTACTTTCAAAAATAGATAAACCAACTGAAGAGCAGTTCTTCTGATGCAAATGGGATAGCCATAAATTAGAATCAACTCAATGACAACTGGTTTTTATATGTGAATGATACATCTCATTATATGCTATTTACACCTTCTATTTATTTTCATAAAGACTCCATGGTTTCACAATGATTACTTACTTAGCTGCTAACCAAAATATGCATTCTTTGAACCCACCAACTTCTTTGCAGAAGCAAAGATCTGGTTATCTGTTCCCGTTAACGATTACAGCTTAAGAAACCTGAGGGGCAGTTCTACACTGTCCTCTAGGGTTGCTGAGTTGGACTGACTCAATAGGCACACAACAAAAACAAATATTAATCATTTTTCTTAATAATTAACAAAACAGAGAAATGTAACAATGCTTTCTACTATTTATTTATTCTTTCTTCTATCTCCTGTACATTTTGTTTGCTATGCAAATTTTTGTAAATTTTGCATCACTCATCATACTCTTCAATACTGTGAAATTCCCCTCTTCGATCCATTAAGTTTCATTTGATCAAAGTTCACCTCATCTGATATGCATATTAAGTTCACAGCCTCTTTGAAAAATATGAAGTGAACAGGTACCTTTTGTTTGTTTGTTTTACATGAAATCCTTTATCACTAAAGACTCCAAATCCATTCCAATTTTACTAACCCCCTCTCCTGCCCCGCCCATGCCCCCCACCTCCCACCCCCTGTCCCCCTCTCTCTCTAACCCTCTCATCATACCACTATTTAGGTAGTGATAGGAAATCTGGAGGGAGGTTTTTAGTTTGTTTTTTAAAAAACATAGTATATATATTAATATAATATACTATATTTATTATGTTTTTTAAAACATTACATATATATATTTATACAGGCAATATCAAGAATGAAATCAATACTGATATCCTATTAAACACTTCACATATATAGATGTGTTGTTGTTGTTTCTCTTCTACCTGCCCACTGCAGACCATCTCCCTATCCCCCATTACAGCCCCCATCCCTGGCCTCCTTATAGTCATCAAAGTCTTGTTTTACTGGTTTGTAAACTATGCTGATGCTTATTTGTTTTTCCTTATAATAATGGTGCTATTAAATATCTATTTTATAAAATTGCCTGAGTTTTCTAAACATACTATTTCCCAGTTTTGTCCAAAACATCTATTTTGATGTTTAAGAGAGTTGTTATTTTTTGATGCATAATAATCCATAGTATGAAGGTTCCAGAGCTTGTTCATATATTCCTTTATAACTGGGGATAAGGGACTGGTATTTGCATTTGTTTAAGGAAGTGCTGTACTGATTTCCATAGTGGTTGTGCAATTCTACAGTCCCATCAGCAATATAAAAGCATTCCTATCTCTCCACATACTCTCAAGCATTTATTATTTTCATTTTTATTGAATTTTGCCAAAAGTGTTGGTGCGAGGTGATATCTCATTGTTGTTTTACTGTGTACTTCTTTTAGTGCTAATGAACTTGATTTTGAGACACTAAACTCTTCTTGGCATTTGTTACTTTACGGTACAATATTCATTGCATATGTGGTGGGTCAGCTAGCACACAGTAGTTCTGCATATACTGGAGTACAGCACTAGCATTCCAATCAGGTTTTGATGTGCCTTTAATTTTGTCTATTCTAGTAATTATTTGGATCTGAGTAATTCTTATTAAAGATATGAAGAACATGAAAAGGTTTCATTCCTACAATTTATATAGTACAGGGAAGAAGACATGTCTGCATGAATAAGTGGATATGTGAATGCCTTTGAAAAATGCAGCTGTTCTACTACAAAAATTCAGGAATCAAATGATATATTGGTACAAATGGTATAATTAATACAAAGTTGGTACAAATGGTAAAGCCCAACTATTAACTGAAAGATTAGGAATTCGTGTCTAGCTATGCATAGGTTCTTCATGAGCAGAACTTCTAATAGTCTGCTAATCATAGTCAACACAATAAAATTGGAACAGAAGGAAAATTGTAGGCTTTAGGTGAAGTTGGACAATAACCGCAATGAGAAAATTATGGGTCAAAGCCCTGGAATAGTGCCTCAGAAGAAGCACAGTCAGCTCTGAGGCACCTGGATTACTGCTAGGACTGCGGAGAGTGACACACTTAGAGAGGCACCGTGGGTTGTAATTTTTTTTCCATCAGGGCACTCATAATTCTGCTAGCTAAGAAATACAGTTGCAATGTAATGTGGTTTTGCCCTTGTTTTCAGAAAGGAAAATTAAGTTTCTACTAGAGCATCAGCCCATATATTTTCTTGTTCCAGTTACTGTTCCAGTTCACCACTGTTTACAAATTTGGCTCCATCCTGGTTTCACTTCATCAGCCATAGTGAAGTAGGAAGAAGTGGTCTAAAGAAGTGGTCTTCCTATTCAGAAGAAAGAACCTGAGATCAACTTTAAAAAATCACTCACTGAAAATCTTTTTTTTTCATTATGCTTTTTTTTTTACTTAATCATTTTATTGGGGGCTCGAACAACTCTTATCACAATCCATACATACACCCATTGTGTCAAGCACATTTGTACATTTGTTGCCATCAAATCTTATGGAGCATGGTATATTCTCATTTGCATGGGATCACCCTGTAGCAAAATTGATTAGATAGAACTTAGTTTATTACTAGTATTTAATCATACTCTAGCATAGGGATGTGAAAACTACTGTCAATTCCTAAAGGAAAGGAAAGGAGCTATGTAACGACAGAACTATTAGCTAGATGAAACACTTTAGGTACATTCAAGAAATGAGTTTTACTGTAGAGGAACAGTCTGGAGAAAAAATAGGGATTTGGAAATATATATAAAGCATGCTCACAACAATTGATTTTTTTTTTGCATTTTCCACATCAAAATAAATGCAATAGGGATACAAGAAATTAAAACTACTATTTTCTGTCTTACCTTGGAAGACCGGAAGGTAAATGCTGTCGACTTTACATCGGCTTTTTCTTTGTCCATGAGAAGGAGGTTTTGGTCTTCCACGAGACTTAAATATTTTCCTGTTGTCACATGGCGTAGTCGGAAGGGCTGGCCCCATCTTATATGGCTTCCACTCCATCTAACAAAAAATATTAGGACTTGATGCAATAACAGCCATAATAACAGGAGAAATATCCAGTAAAATGTGTATGTCAGACAATGAACAAAGGTTCTTTGCATGCATGCCCCTATTTAGTATTCTCAAAAATCTTATGTGTGTGACATTAATCTTATTTTACATATCACAAATAACTACTCAGAACAATTAAGTAATATCCAATGCCACAAATCTAAGTCACAAGTATCATGAAGTTTAAGTCAAGATTTTCTTATTTCAAAGCATCCTATATAGTGTTCTAAATGCAGACTAGGAGTTTGTGTTCCGAGTTAACCTATAATCATATTTACATAAAGAGAAATTATAACTTTAAATGATAAATCAGAATTTACTACTTTTGAACTGTACTTGTACAGAATATACATTAAAAATAACAGTATCATAGTCCATCTTTAAATAGATTTCATTGGAAATCATATATTTAAACTAAAATGTTTATTTAGAGCATCGTTTATTGACAATAGAATTCTAGTCCTATGCTTTAGTTTTCTTTTTTCTTCCTAAGGATATGGTCTGAATTATCCCATCTGTGTCAGCATGCATGCTTAATCTATGCAGCCACAGATACAGTATTGTTATTTCAGGAATATATATATATTATTGCCTCTCTTGCCCTGTTGTCTTTTTTACCTACATCTTCTTTGCTGACTTCAGTCTTACCGTATACTGTCTTCCCTTTCATCCAACTGTTTACCTGCTAGTTAGCAATTAATATACCCTTCCTCTCCTGCCCCTGACAACCATCAAAGAATGTCTATTTGGTATGAAAACTCTTTTTGATTTTTTATACTAATGGTTTCATACAACATTTATCCTTTTGTGATTGACTAATCACTCAAGAAAGTGTCTTCCAGGCTCATCTATGTTTTGAGGTATTTCACAGAATCAACCTTATTCTTTAACATCTTATACTATTCTATTTTGTTTATATACCCTTGTTTGTTTACTGATTTTCCCTTTGAACAGCATTCAGGTTGGTTTTGGTTATCTAAATGTTAATGTTGTAGAACAATCATATCATTAAAAATTGTTGAACAACAACCAAAATTAAAAGACTCAAGAAAATTAGAGTTGTGAAAAGCTATAAGGGGGAAAAGTTAAAATAAGGAAGTTATGATTATTAAAGTCTGGTTTAAAATATAATTATACTACTTATCATAAAGACCAGAAAACAAAATCTAGATCCAGGGTCCAAATTGCACAATAGTAGCATACATTATAGAGCTAAGTCCGTACTCCTGGGCTGAGAGAGGCCGCAGGTCTACCATGAATGTCACTTAGTACAGCACTGGGCTATGTGACTGCCTACATATCGTGAATAGGACACATACTTAACAACAATTAATGCAAAATTACTAAAATAAATGAGTGTTTGCAGCACTACACATAATAATAAAAACATGTCATTAACCTAAATATTAATCAACAGATGGATAGAAGAATAAAATGTGATACACTCATTTAATTTGGAATACTGCTCAGCCATAGAAGGAAAAGAAGTCTAGCTGCACCATGGCCTAACAGGGGAGAACATGTGGAGTGAATGAAGTCAGGCATACAACAAATACTGCATGAGCTCACTTGTATAACATATCTAAAACAACTCAACAGATAGAGATAAAATGTATTAGTGGTGCTCAGAGGCAGGCAGGAAGGAGGGAGACAGAAAGAATCATTGCTGAGGAGGCAGAGCTTCTGTAAAAGATGATGAAAAATTTGAAACAAATAGTGTTGATGGTTTCACAATTTGATGAACTTAAGTAATGCCATTAAATTATATAAGTAAAAGAAGTGTTGAAATAGTAAGTGGTTGCTATATATTAACACAAAATACAGTAGATAAATAAATGAGGAAAAGCCATTTACCATGCCAAAGGAAATTATGAAGGCAGAGTCGATGTTAGATAAGCTAAAATAGTAGGCAAATGATATAAAGAGAATACTGACCGATATTTTATGAAGGGAAAAGGTATACTCTAAAAGAATATAGGAGGAGCCCTGGTAGTGCAGTGGTTACGCATTCCACTGTGATCCTCCTAGTGTGCCGTTTGAAACCACCAGCACGTCTGTGGCAGAAAGACTGGATTTTCTATTCCCATAAACAGTTTCAGGCTTGGAAACCCACTGGGGTCACTATGAATCAGCACTAACCTGATGACAGTGAGTCTCAAGAAAAGAAGTATGCCATATAGCTTTGCATATTAATTTGTATACATCAATTTTGGATTATTATTCTCCTAATCTGGATTTTTGACTTGCGAAACTAGTATGAAAAATCAGCAGTAGAATATTAAATTAGTTTGTTTTTATATGGATTTTGCTTGTAAAACATTTAAATAGGAGCAGTCTCACACTAAATATATTACCATGTGCCAATTAACCTTGATGATAATGTAACATTATCACAAAAACAAAAATTTATACACTAAATGTATTATTTGAAAATACTGTTTAAACAACACATTTGAAGAAATATTTGAATATTTTTTCAAATAATGATTAATCGTAGTCATCATAAACTTAGCCTACATTTTCAAATACTATAAAATTTAGACTAAATTTATAGTTTTTACCATAATTTCTTGAAGGTGTTCTGGATACCACACTCCTCTTTTTTTGTGGTGTAAAATTCTCACCAGTGTCATGTGAATTCTGAACTGTGATTAGCATCATCATAAAAGAACTTCAAGTCCCGTAGTTACCCTTCACTGAACCTAACCATAAGGCAATTACTGTACACCAGTCATCCAAAGTCAAAAACAAAGCAAAAGTCACTGCCTTGAGTGGGTTTCACCTCATAAAGCCACAGATAGCACTGTCCTATAGCAAGGTGGTAAATCGTTCCAAAAGTAGACTTCCAAGTATTTCTCCCTAGCAAGTGACTGCTGACCAAGAGTTTTAACATTGTGCCATGAGGCTTAAGGGGAAAATCAATTTCAAGCTTTCTATTCCCTAAAGACACTATCAAACATAACAAAGCAACCACATGCAGTAGATGAATAGGACCTACTAGTGTGCGTCAAAGTGTCCAATTTTTAGTTAAGTCCCAATCATCAATTTGTTATCTACTGGGGGTCACTTCCAGTCCATGGAGAAGGATATCATACTTAGGCAGCGAAAAAGAGCAAGGCCCTCAACAAACAAGACAGATCGACAGTGGGCTCAAGTACAGCAACAATTGTGAAGCTGGCACAAGAGCAGGCAATGCTCCATTCTGTTGTGCATAGGGTCACTTTGGGTTGGAACTTACTCACTTGCACCTAACCACAACAACATGATGTGTGGTTTTGTTGTTTGATCGTGTCTTTATGCTCTGGAGTAGGGCTTTTAATTTTTCTCAGTGATGGTTTTTATGGCTCTGGGATTTACTTAGGTTTTTAGTCCATCTTTAGGCTGTTTTTGTGTATGGAGTGAGGAGGCATAGGTCTTGTTTCTTTCTTCTGTGGATGGACAACCGATTTTTCCAGTACCATTTATTGAAGAGACAATCTGCTCCCCATTCTGTTTTTGGTCCTTTGGTGAAGGTCAGTTGTCTGTAGGTGGATACATTTATTTCCTATTCTCATCATATCAGTTCAAGGCTCTTTTCACTACTGTGTCTGTATAGTAACTTGATGGCAGGTAGACATAAGCCTCCCGACTTCTTCTTCTTTCGTAGTTCTTGGCTTATTGTAAGTGTGTCACCTCTCTATATAAAGGTGATAATTATTTTTCCATTTCTTTCAAGAATCAAGTTGAGCACTGGAAGTGTCAGGAGTGCTAGGGTGCTGCCAGCCCCACATGTTAGGTGCAGAGTCTGCAGCCCCAAGCTATCTGTGGGTGTGGAGGATTGTATCTTCTCTGAGCACTTGGAGCCCCTGAAGAAAAAGGGCTGCCTCAGACCCTTTCCATTCTCCTTCTAGGTTCAGACTTGCCACTGATTCACCCCGTTGCCCACACCCACAGTCTCTGAAGTGTGAAGGCTTCAGATCGCTCAGCTTTTATCATAGTTTCCAAGATTTCAGGCATGTGGATTTTCTTTTATGCTGTTTACTCCGATTCATTGTATATAGATTTTCTTTTGTATGTGTCCAAGCAGCTATCTTGTCCCAGGAAACAGTTCCTTTAGGATTTTATAAAATGCCATCTCCTGAAACGGTTGAACATTCACTAGTTATTGTTTTTTTAGTTAGGTTATCTCTGTATATTCTTTCCATCTTCTTATAATGCTTCCTGCATCATTTAATATTTTGCCATAGAATAAATACTTCAATATTGTAATTATGGCTTACCTTTTCGACTTCATTCTTTAAGCTTGAAAATGTTGAGTACATGCCTCCCTTTTAGTATTCCAATTTAGGTTTTGACACATTTCATCATATATTTTACTTTGTCTTCTCAAGCCACCCTTGAACCCCAAAACAGAGGAAAGCTGTCTTACATCATTTCTTTCATTTGCTTTAGCTACTTTACCAACAAAAGAAAGTATTCAGAGCCTTTTTGTAACATCAGTTTTTGTTCTTCCTTTCTTCCTTCCTTCCTTCCTTCCTTTTTAATGACCTTTTACTTTCTGCATGTATAATGTCATCCCACAAAGTCATCTGACCTTAGGTCATTCATGTTTAATGTGTCAAGTCTATTATTGATATGTTCTGGACATTCAGATGGTATGTACTACAAGATATACTTTGGCTCTCATGGACTTGTTTCAATTTTCTTCAGCTTCAACGTGAACTTACATATATGAGCAATTAATAGGTCTGTTCTGTTGATCTTGCTCTAACTTATTATACTGAGATTTTCCATCCCTTTCCACAGATGTAGTCCATTTGATTCCTGTGTATTCCATCCTGTGAAATTAACCAGTTTATGTCATGAAAAAAGCATTTTCAATGAATGTCTTTGGTTTTGTAAAATGCTATCATGTGGTCTCTGGTGTCATTTCTATCACAATGATTATAGTTTCCACTCTTGATGTTTTT